CAGATTGCTGCTTGAGTGATGTGCCAGTTTCCTTGATTTTTGTTTCATGTGTGTATGTAGCAAAAAGGTTTATAAGGAGAGAGTTGCAAAGGCAAATATAGGGAATTATAGGGATGGTAATAGGTGAATGGACATACAGAGAGACGAGGAGGAGGAAAGAGAGGAAGGACCAAGGAGGCCAAGGGGGAAACAGACATGGCGCTCTTCAGCATGGCATATACTGCTACAGACATGGAGAAAGAATCAGTGAGGTATAGCGGAAGGACGAGAGAAGGGAATTTACCTAGCTTTATTGCGATCAAACTATGACAATTTTGTCTAATTGGGGGTTTAATCATCCTCAGCTTTTTAAGGAAAGCGTTTTTTTAACTTTCTAGTTTTTAGGTTTGGTTGTGCAACATTTCGGTTAATAAGGCTATTTTTGATTAAATTGGGAGAAGCAGTTGGTTTGGTCCTTGTTGGCGTAAACAAATGCTATTCAAATCACACTGCTTTTCTGTTCTAAAACGACAAATAGGTAAACATTCTAGCTGGGTCAGAGTACCACCCACTGAAAAGAAAGAATTTAGAATGCTTGTCCCATCACAGGAAGACTCACATTAAAAAGGATTAGACGAATATTATATTCATTGTTTTTGGTATTTTTGCTTAAAAACAACGTACTACTCCGACTTATGGGCTATTATTATCGTCATTTTTTTGGTCGCCATTTTTAGTTTTTAATTATAACGAAGTGTGTAAACCAATAGGACAAGCAGTAATTAGGATTTTATTGCATCTTGGCAAAGAGTGGTGATTAAACACCTAGCAAATTTCTTCTTCAATCATTTACCCATATTGAAGCATTTTCGAAACTCGGTGTTACTGTCAAAACATCAGCAAGTTGAAGGGCCACACTCTCTTACCAGTCCATGCATTGATTGTAGTTAATCTCCTCTAGGCCTCCACTCCTCCCCCACTGCAGCTAATTTGGCACCAGGGCCTCCACTACTCTCACAGCGACTACTTTTTCCTACACCTTGACGTAGGGTGAAATGACAGATGAGAGTTCTCCTATTGCGCGTGTCAGCATAGGTTAACTACCAAACTGCCGTCATTCATCGAGGGTTCTAAACACGTTATTTATCCCAGTTTCACCAACACCGACATTGACGTCAAATTGCAAACACCTTTATTCAGTGATTCTTGTGGTAGTAGTTGCAGTTGCTGAGCGATGCACTAGCTGCAATATCTTCACAATTAAATGAAGCACTATCGGGTAGTACGTGAAAATCTTTCTTTGCAGTAGATTGATTTATTTTATTCCATTCAAGCTACAACATTAGTAAATAAAGGCATTGGACGCATGAATGCTTTATGGTACAACATAACGTCTTCATGCTCTCCTGATTGTCCTTTACCGCAGTACATAATAAGCATTTACGGTGCTATGAGACTGCGTGCTATTTCGCCGTCAGGACGTCTTAGCTCCACTTTTAGCCGCTTTTTCCCATTGTGCAGATAGTCATTTCATTTAATTCTTGTTAGACACTGTTTGGGTTGTTGTAGCTAACAAACTCCGGGATAAAAAACCAACTTAATCAAGCATGAACGGCAGGGCTTGAAGTCAACACAGACCAAACACAATACAGTGACATGCCAAAGAATTTGCCTTTATTTGTGGCAGAATAATTATAAATCTTCTCACCGATAACCCTTCCAAATCGTGCGAAAAGTTTGACAAGATGTATAGCATCACACTTTGATGCTGATAAAATATGAATAGGTTACAGCCTTCGGAACAATTTATCATTCGCTCTAGCACATGGCCTTCTTGAGGAATCGTTACAGACAGCACTTGGCCAGAGTTTTGAATATCCACTGAAGCTTAAGACAAACGAGACTTAATTTAGTAGAAATACAGTTTTTATAAATGACAAGCGAAAGGATAATAAAAGTTCTGAACCCACCTAAACAGTACTGCAGACAGTTGAGCACTGATACTTGAGTGGCCAAAAACAAAGAAGGTTAGAGGATGACCAGAAACGAAATGATACCTACCTGCGCAGGTAGAAGCAATGGTGCCATTGTATGTTGCAGACTTGATGCTGCGGCATGAGTTGCAGCTGGTTGTGTTGAGCCATATTAATGGCTATAATTCGTGCAGAAGAATTGATTTGAATGGTTCCTGAATATGGAGTGGGCGGGATGCATTACCATGGTCTGACAATTCATGGCCTCGTAAAAGGCACCCATTGCCCCTGCCGCATTGTTAGTGGACTGTTCAGCACTGATTTTTACAATCGCAATGTGATTCTACCACATTGAGGGGAGGGTTACTGCAGGTGGCGATAGTGCATTAATCGAACACACTCCCGAATGAAGCAGTCAAAGTGAACAAAAGTTCTCAATTTATTATTTTACGGTCTGCATTCGTGCAACCACTGTTGAACTTAAGATTAGTAGAACAGAAAAGAGCATTTCTGTCTCCACTCTTGTCCATATTTAGGGCCTACAACAGCGTATGAGCCAGCAATGGCCCATTAGTACCTCATAATTCAGTGGGTAAGACGTCATCGGTATATAATACCCGAATGAATGATTAGCTGTCATCAGAATTTGTGCCTATGGAGGGAATCGAGCGCATGCAGTGACTTTGGCCATTATTGGTATGAGTAGCGATGGCAATAATGGAATTCATTATGACATTTGTCGGTATCACACGGTCCCTGGTGGGCTAGTTACGGACGGCAACTTGCACTACATCTTGACTACCAAGGAAGACGATGGCAGGTCTTGGACTTAGGACTGGCAAGGGCACATGAGCGTCAGACTAACGCACTAATCTAGAGGACCCAAGTCACTTCCAGAAAGCGCAATGGCTGCTGTAAACAAAATCATATTTTCAGATTTCTTCAAAACAGGGTTAGTATTAACGACTGCATTCGGGCAAAACAAGGCACTCAGGTTTGCTAAAAATTGCCAGTTGAAGGAAAGGATTGACCAGATTCTGTTAAAATGGAAACGATTGTCACGACCACGCCTATACTTTGAAGAAAGATAGCAAAAAGTAATCAAATCGACTTCTGCCAACTTGTCCAATTTGTTTCAATAGTTACAGACCAAATGATCATGCATTTAATCAGCTCACTTTTATTGACAACAACTATCAAGCATTTGGTTTTATTGGGCTACCCGAGGAGCCAACTTTTAAGCAGACAGCAAATTGTTAATTCCAAAATGAGTCTAGTCATCAGATAATACCCTTACTAAAATGGTACACATGAATGGGAAATAGGATGCTTTCAGCCCTTGCTCTGTCTCCTGTGAATGCCAGCGAAGCATAGAGCAACAACACTCTTTAATATTTTTCGTCTTTAGTTACGGAGATACTGCAACACCATCTACACTGGAATAGTTGACGAGGCTACAAAGTTAGCCATCATGCAAGTAATTTGTCCACTAATTTTCAGTTACGAACAAGCGTTGCAGCGATCACTGGAACTCGTTCATAATGTTGTCAATATAAGTTGTCATAGTTTATTCAACCGCTCCTTCCAGGAAAATGAAGGCCGGCGTAGAGTGATCGAAAGCCAAATCTCTTATACTGGAGACAGATCAGTGAACATCCTTGCTTTAAGCGCTATAGGGGTTGCAAAATGTGGCTTAAAAGTGCGAGATTCAATCTCTGGTTCTACTCCCAGCGACAGTGAACACTATGATTCCCACATATCTTCTCACAAATCCTACTATCAGCCGCCGTATTTACAAAATAATGCCGGAATCCGGATTAAGTATGCTGAACTGCCCTAGAATGGACAGACATTAGCCAGAAAGTTCTTCCATCACTAAATAATAGTGGCTGAAATCAGCGAACAATACACAGGGATCTTTCGGATTCAAGCGCAATGGGGTTGTCCGAACTTGCCGCAAACTCAAGGAAATGCAGAATTCTACGATAATCGGTCGACTTCTAGTGACATTGTTTCACCAAATGAAATCGCAATTATTAAAGGCCGTACAAATAATTTGAAAACCTGACTAACACCATCTAATTAGAGTAGACTCCGTATTTTTTAGGTATAACAGGTTATTGTAGGACCTTTGTCAAAGGATTTGCTAAGTTGGCAAGTCCGCTGCATGAATTGACATAACAGAGGACACAAGAAAACTTTAAAAAAAGAGAAATAGCATAATGAAGCACTCAAGGAGCCGAAGCAGATGGTAGGGTTCATGTTGATTCTGACGTTTTCAAAGTTCAACCAAGCACCACATCATTCGCACTGAATACCAAAGCTAACAATGTAGTGGGAGGTAATATATTAACACAAGGACAATGAAGAGAGAGGACAAGTCATTACCTAGGCCTTGTTGCACCAAAGGCAACAAAAATTAGACAGCAAAGAACAGCACAGTGTAAACTGTTCGCTATCTTTACTATGGTTGGACACTTTAAGCATCACCTGATGACAAGGAATTTTATAGTGAGTAGGGGCCACCGGGTACAAACTTGGCAAAAAATAATGAGGGGAATAGGCCTTTCAATTGCTGATTAGCATAAAGGGCTCTGACAATACGAAGTCCCAGTGCAATACACGAGACAAAATAAAGATGCCATCGCAGGTGCTTAACCTTCTACATCAATTCTGGCTGGAGCAAGAAGTGTTGCATTAGGTACTACATTCCAGAGCGACTCAACTGAACACCATTAAAAGGTCGCAAAGTACCGATTCAGATATGGCTCTAATATGTGGGAGTTCCCTTGCATTCTCTTACAAACACACACAGCAGAAGTGATGACCTCGTCAAGCAAGGCGGTTAGCCGGATATGACATAAGGTTTTATTGTACTAAGAAATATTTAGGGGTTCAAAACGTCTGGTGATCCTAGGCATTACTAGACCAAGTGAGGAATTAGAATTTGCTAACCGCCTAAAGCAAACGGTGTAGGTTACCTGCGCAAAACACCGAAACACCTACAACAGCTTTACAATATCTCAACTCAGCTTAGGGAAATTGCACCACTTTTGCCTCTGGACACGGGCTTAAAGGAAAAAGTAGGTATTGACATCATATTCTATCTGCCACCCACCAGAAGAGGAAACCGATATATTTTGGTTATGAAGAATACCACACGGAAGTAGTTAAGGCACAACGCATGAAGACACAACACCCTAAAACAGTCCCTCTAGTTTTCTTCAGTTGCTGGAGTTTGCAATATGAAGTACCTGATACGGTATATAGCATTCAAGGCGCTAATTACGTAAGCACGCTATTTACTGAACTATGTATAGCTTTCGGGGTCTCCAACATACTTACGACATCTGTACATCCACACGCAAAGAGAACGCATCATTTTAAATTTTTGTAAGCATAAGAGTTGCAACAAACAATGTCCTAGCGTACGTATTGCTACTACAAAAAGGTATATAGCTGACTTTCAACATCACAAAGGAACAATTAGGCCTGCCATTTATCGGGCAAAAGTAATTTACTGACAAACACAGTCAAGCTGACTTTTGTGGTAGGGAGTTGAGATACAAGGCCTCTCATCTGCAAGAGTTAACAAACGGAAGCGAAGCAATAGCATTCTCATGAAACAACCTGGTTCAAATTAAGGTCAGGGTGAATTTGGCTTACTGATGGATGGAATGTGGAAATGTGTGCAGATCCGCATCTCTTTCGCATTATGTGGATTAGACAGGAGCTCAATCCCAAACCAGATGATTGATCAGGAATCCCATTGAAAGCAATACAGTGCCTTGACTTGCTACAATGGTGTTGCTGGCATATTTAGCCTAAGACTGCACTTCACCTTAAATATCCCAGCACAGAAGGCATCTTGCTAAACACTAAAAATTTATCGGCACCTTTGCGTGCCAAATCTGACCTACTGTCTTGTAAATGGTTCGACTAAAAGGTAGCACTACTTCTCTGCCTGCAATCAATTGAGAAATTGTTGAAGCCGTGACTCGGCGTATGCCTATAGTTAGTAAATGAAACGTATCGTCTTTAGCTTGGCGGCTGCGACCGAGCACGCACAGCAGAAGTGTAAAATTTATAGCGGGCACCTACGTCCGTGCAGCAATTGGAGTACAAAAATTTATCTCCAGGATATTGCCAGCGATACTATAGACAATTAACAAGGTTTATCTGAAATATTCGCTGAAAATGAGATATTCAAACTAATATTTGATTGATGAGGAGAGACTCAGTATGACGTGAATTTGACCTAGCCCAAATATGAGACATTTTAAACCGTGTTCATTCCACCCCTAGATGGCCTTTGATGGACATCGCTTGCAAAACAGTTTAGTGAAACCGAAAAGTAGTATGTCAGGTTGAGAGGGGCAGGAAACCCATTTTAAAATAAACAATGGATGGGCCACTGGGAAGGGATGATAGTGAGGCTACAAAATACCCGGTAAACCGACTGCTCATTGGAATCAAAGTGGCGAAGTATGGCATGTTTTGGCTTTACCCCTATTAGTGCAACACACCTATTGGGTAGCAATACTTAAGTGAGATTCTTGATACCAGGTGAATATAATTCTGTAATATCTTTCTTTGTTAAACAAAGCAGCTCCTAAAAATTTCTCTAATCCTTGACTTAGCAGCTTGCAAACGCAGCATTTAGCATCAAGTGTGCCGTCAAAGGTAGCACTTAGAAACGTATCTTGCACTTCTTAGTCTCAAGAAATAAAGAAGAATTAAAGTAATTAATGGAGCCCACAAAATTCACTTAATGGGACCGGGTAAAAGTAATTCTGTAAAAAATCTGCAGATGATGTTTTAAATTGGTGCAATCAGTTTCATTTCAACTCACAAATAATGAGTAAGGTTACGTACCTCAGAACCACAAGTTTCGTTCATACTATTGTTCTTGCGGTTGCTTGTCTCATTATCAACGGCGTATGTGTGAGAAGTGCCCTTTTGTAGTGCATGCGAATACCGAAGAAAAAAGGCACTCACCCTTAATCTTGATGGGAAGCACCAACTCCACGCGGCAAGGGTATTTGATATATCTGTCGGTGGTTGGTACAAGGGAGGCTTGGTAAGGACCCACTGACAGCATTTTTGCAATTACTGCATTTATGTGACCCTCTTGTTTGCCCTTCTAACACACAATCCACTTTTCATTTAAGAAAACGAACTGCTTCTAAATTTGGTGTCTGGTAAGAGTTGCCCACAAGGAGTTCATATTGGCAAGTCGGCAGTCTCATCCCTCCGGTGTTCAACTGGCTACCTTGATTGTCAATTTATTTCAATTGCTACACTTTAGGAAGTACAAGATGAGTCCCAATCACACATAATTGACTAAGCTGACAGGAGTGTCACTAGTGTATCTAGCATACCACGTTCCCGTTTCTGAAATATATTAAAGGATCTCGAAGTATTATCTTCTTTCCACAAGTCCTATACTATACGATTTTATAAAATTCGCAATTTATTATCTCTTTCGACGATTTGATACTGCAAATGACCAGTAGAAGTAGCCAAATAGCTTTACTTGGTTTTTTGCGACAAATGCTGTTTTACAACAAAGGGCTGCACAACAAATTTCTTTCAGGAAAGTATTAATTGGAACAATTTGTCCCTTCCTTAATCAGACATAAGTTTGCCGCAACTCCCACCCACTTAGAATCACCTACCTTGAGAAGCACCAAATCCAGTTCCACTCACATCCATGTTTGTTATCTATTTCACCTACCATCATATGGATAGAGAATATCATTTAGAGCTTACAGAAGTATTTCTGGAGGAATACGGACCACTTGGACTAGGTCACATCATCTTTCAATCATAAATTGCAGCACGAATTCCTCTCATTAGTCAATTTGGCAGCATTTCCAGGTATGAGGTCTAGCATCATATTAAAGGACTGGAAATGAGACTTTGTTTCCACTTATTTATTGGCTCTAGCTATTCCAACAGAAGGATGAGGAAGGGAAAAGTGGGCTGAGGAGGAGTGTTTCCTTTGTATCTTAGAGCCTGCAACTGTCTGGTCCTGAGTATGCGAGGACTTTATGCGGGTGTAGCCCATCACCCGCGGAAGAAGCTTCCTCATCTTGGTCTGAAGACGTACTCGCCTTGGACGTATGGGGTTAGTAGTGAACGGTTGGGTTGACACCATATTTAAGAAAACTTAGTTCTTGTCGCAAATTAGTCATTGAGCAAGCAACATGAATTACAACATGTTTAGAATAAGTGACCGGAACAATGACAGTCTGATATTCTTTGAGACTTATTCTCGTATGCATTTAAACGGCTCCTATTTACATTTCGATTTTCCTAGCTGGTGTAGGCATGAATCCCTTCTAATCATGCACTAAATGTTGTCTGTGCGTTAATATGCCCCAGCATGCGCTAGAATGTAAACAACCATGTGGGACTTTGTGTTGGTACAGCCGATCGCTTAAAAGTACATTTTTACTATATAAAGTTCGTCTGCGGAGCGTCAATCACCCATCAAAAATAGACTGTTAATTTAGTCAATTTTGGAAGTAAAAGGAGGCAAACTAACCTGCAATGGCGCATATTCTAACCAAAAAAAATTAAATATTCTTCAGCTCAACGAGGAGATCCAAGTAACATCCTGTAATTTGAATGCTCGTTACACGAGTAAAAGGTTGAAATGTACGTAACAATGGAAGAAGGCCATCAGAAGTAATGTATGCTGTATAACCTTTACAAGGTATGACAATATACGTTTGCTTGGCAAATCCTTTTCTCGGTGAGCGTTCAATTAATACGAATAATGTGGCGAAAGGACGTCATCTACTCTCGAAGAAGAAGTGTGCTCTGAATAGCCATAGCCATGATACCTGAGCCTAGTTCATTATATTTCCAGCTCATAATATTATCAGTCCACTCGCTCCACGAGAATAAAGACTGAGGTTGGACAGGTAAAAGCCGAACTTATTAACTTAATCGTACAAGGGGCACTTCAGACACGTGAATAAATTTCTGAAGTTTCTCTCGTAAATGACTACAACCTAGGGTATATTTGTCATTGAACAAAACACGAGCATAATGTTATGCTACTTGTGAGTAGTTATTGAAGATACCACTTTGAAGGACACTAATTGGAACTAGTAGTCACAATCGAAATTGCACTCTTAGTGGATTTTATTCACTGCCTGTTATGCAAGACATTAGAATGTGTAAAAGCCACTTATCCAACTGCCCGTTACGCGATGGGCTTGCATTGCCACAATCATTTGCATTATTTTTCCTCAAAGTATATAGTTTGCCAAAGCCATAATTGTTCAGTAGAAGAGGTTCTCCGAAATGCGAAAACGAAAAGGGTAACTAAAATGCTGTTTCACGCAAAGGCAATAAATCGGAGAAATGGATTGTCCACATTCGCTTTTTCAAGTGCTGCCCGCCATGGCACTGTGTCGACTAATGTCTGATCCAAAGAAGTATGGTACAGTTCAACTCCTCATTATTTTGTCACAATGAATTGATGATATTTGCTAACTATGCAGAATTACATGCTCTCCCTATTTTTCAATCCCCACGCAACATGCTCTATCATACAGCTATTAGCAGGTGTATATTCAACTCACATTTTCAACTAAATCACAGAAAATGCATCCGTTTTAGTTATATCTGGGACTCTGTTAATGAATAAACTATATCCATAATTTCTTTCCATCATCAGATCATACTGTCAGAAGTGGATGCACGCTAGATCTTCAATGACAGGCCCAGATGGTGTTTTCTACTTGTGTCACTTACTTTGCTTAAGATTGCACGTCTGTTGTATTCAGTGTTGGAACAATGTGCACAAATTAATGCTTAAAGTAAAAGAGAAGCAAATGTTGTAAGTAGGCCATGATGTGGACTAGAGCCCAAGCGAGATCCACTTATTAGTGTGCCTAAGATGCTGCTCGTAAATAACTTGCCAAAGTTGAACCATTATGTCCCAAAAATATCTGCTTCGTAGGATTTTCCACTGCTCCCACATGCATAGCCAGTCCACTGCACTTTCAGTATAAGAGGGCATCCACATAAAGGGCTGCGTGGGAGCATGCAAGTAATTAATATGCCAGCGAAAAAAATCATCTCCCCTCTGCTAGTATAGCAGAGAACCTTTTACATTGGCCATCCATTCCAGCATGAAATTGCCAAGTAATGCTTGAAGTTCCTAACGAAAGTTCAAAATTCATTAGAGCTTTTGACTTATGCTTTTACAAGTTTACTAATACACTCCTTTGGCACGCCTATACGGCTTAGCTAATCAGGTCAGTAATATTAGTCCCCATTTTTTGTACCATCTCTTTGTACATATTAAAGTAAATCTCTGTTCTAAAGTCACTTTACCCTGCCAGACTTGACAAATCACCTAGATCGAATGCCATGCCTTTCTACTGAGAAGCCCTTGGCCTTGCACAGATACTTGCTTTTTCTTCACCTTCAGTGAAGCCTGAATGTTGGTTCAACTCAATCAAACCTGCATAAGATTGCTTACAGTTTATTTCCTTACTCCAAAGTCAATTTCTTGGGAACAGATTTGCGGCAGCTTGCCTAAAATGATCAGCATCAAAACATGAATTAGGCTAACAGTTGGAAAGTAAATTCCCACCTCCCTATTTATCACTTTTTGAGTCCGAATGAAGGAAGGTATGCGTCCCATTCACCA